ACTGAACTCTGTAATTATAATAAACAAAGTTGGACCCCAGGCATAACAAAATTGAGGCTCGTTCCTTTCTTTGTAGAGCTGGGAAGATATGGATGTGGAACATTGCATATATTGTCAGATTCAGTTGATATATTGGTTAGCTTGACTGACTTGCTTTTTTTCTCTTCCTTTTTAATTCTTTGTTATAGGGATGGTTACATGGGGAAGGGAGGGGAGGGAGAGAGAGAGATACTTAGAAATAAAAGGGATCTAAAGACAAAAAATATTAATAAAAATTAAAACTAAAAACAATATCCCTAAAGCTATAGACACACAAGAATTCTTGTGAAGATGACAGAATTAGATTACAAACAAATCTTTCTCCTTTTGGGCTTCCTTGATAAGACCTACCAACTTAAATCCCAAACATGACCTTGAAAAGAAATAGAGAAAGAAAAGAAAAAAAATGAAGCAGTAGCAGATCCTTTGGTTTAGATTAGAGGAAAAAAATCAAGTGAGCAAAAAACATAGTTTTCTCTAGCCAATGGTACTGCATAGAAGAAGAGATCTAGGTGGGATCCTGGTCTGGAAAACATTCAGAGAAAAAACAGAGAGAGGCATACCTGCTTCGCTGCTTTGTCCACCAGGAAAAAAAAGAAGGGAAGTCCTTTGTGAATCTTCCCTGTATCCTTCCCATTAATCTAGGTCTAATCAGGTTGTATGGAGTTTATCTTCCCTCTTGCTAGCCTATGTTTCAGCTCTACTAAGAGTTAGATGTAAGATTACTTATTCTTCATTTTAACCCCTAGGCCAGGTCTTCTGGCCATTGTTGACTTTGTAAAAAGGGGTAGGTCAATTTTTTAATTGAGCTGGTCCAACCCATATTAATGAAAGAAAACTGCCTCCTCAATCCAGTCACATGGCCCACTGTTAGCCCATTTTAGAAGGCCAGTGTTTTGGCTAGAGATGAGGTAGGGGTGTGTGTGTGTGTGTGTGTGTGTGTGTGTGTGTGTGTGTGTACATGTGTTATGTGTGGTATGCATTATTTCATTCCCCTTCCAAATAGCTAGAAGGCAACAAGATATCTATCATAGGTTCATAGTTTTTAGAGATGCAAGGGACTTTAGAGATCATCTTATCAGTGAACTTCTCAATCCAAGGGCCATACTATTTCAAAGATGGGCAAATTAAGGCCTGAGTGATTAAATAACTTGTTCTAGATACTCACTGTCTATAAACATCACAACCCAGAAATGCTAGGTGAGCACCAGATCATCTCTAGGGCAGAGCCATCACTAGCCATTTTTGACCCTAGTGTACATACATTTTCAGTGTCAACAGTATGAATGTACCCTCAAGCATAGTTAGAGAGGCCGCCGTTGGAGGTTGGGGAGGGACGGACAGGCCCAGAGGACTGGGGCGAAGCCCACTTCAGGTACACGTGCTATAGTTGTCTATTACAACTAGTTATCCATGCTTTGTTGTTGTTTAGTTGTTTCAGTTGTGTGTGACACTTCGGGACCCCATTTGGGGTTTTCTTGGCAAAGATACTGGAGTGGTCTGCCATTTCCTTCTCCAGATCATTTTACAGATGAGGAAACTGAGGCAAACAGGCTTAAGTGACTTGCCCAGAGTCACACAGCTAGGAAGAGTCTGAGGCTAGATTTGAACTCAGAAGATGACTTCTGTATAACTAGTGGAGTGACCCCAGTCACTGCACTAGTTATACAGGTATTCTCAAGGGTCTGTCCCAACTCTAAAATTCTATGCTTCCTTAAGTTATCTCATTGTTTTATTTTTAAATCTATACCACATAGAAGATGAGAATTCTAATGTTACAAATTAAATAAACATCTATTATTTACTTATTGTGATTAAGATGTTAGAAATATGTCAAGGGTGTTTGATCATTGAAACTTTCTACACCAGGGCAGATTGCAATCAATCTATAATTTGTACATATGTCTCAGAGAATTTCCTGGGATTCAGAGAGGCTAAGTTATCTGCAGTCCCATAGCTATTAAGTATCAGAGGCAGGATTTGACCCCACGTCTTCCAAGTTTAACATTCTAAACACTTTACCACATTGCTTCTCTGGCACTAGGGATGCAAAGACAAAAAGTGCCTTGCCCATTCAAGAAATTTAACATTATGTAAGTGAGAAGTAGCGACTGATAACGAAGGCCCAGTCCTTGGAGCGTGTGTAAGAAGTTGAGTCTGCACATCCCAAAGTGCATGATGATGTGGAATGTGCGGGGGTCGGGGAACTGGTTCTTGTCCACTTACTGGAGTGGTGAATGATGGTGGCTGAACCAGAGCTGAGAGTGTGTTCAAAAGGCTCCATTGGAGAAACTGGCTCTTTCCTTCCTGCTGGTCATGCAGTATAAGGATCAAGCTCTGGTTGACCCTATTTCTGAACATGAAACAGGCACAAATTTGTCCGTATATCCTGTGATTCAGGGACAGGCCCCTCCGTTCCTTGTCATCCTTCACTTCCAGAAGCAGGCTAACACCCTTGCACAAGCTCCCAGGACTGAACCCTCATTGGCCAGTCTCCCCATTTGCAGTCATACTAGGGGATAACAAATGCATACAGATAAATAAAGGTAATTGAAGGAGGCAGAAAGCACCAACAATTCAGACTCACCTGAGATGAGTCTGAAAGAGGATGAGAATTTGATGACGAAAGAGTTGCATTCCACAAATGGGAGAGGCCTTCTGCAAACTCATGGAAGTAGAGAATGCAATGTTCAGCATGGAGAAATCCAGTTTGGTTTCAATGTAGAGTACGTAAAGGGGAATAATGTGAAATATGGATGAGAAGGTAGATTAACGCCATATTGTAAAGGGTCTTTAAAGCCAACCTGAGGAATTTTTATTTTATTCTGGGAGCAATAGGGAGTCACTGAACATTTTTGAGCAGGGGAATTATATAGTCAGTCTTATACCTCAGAAAGGTAATTTTGGCAGCTATATGAAGGATCATTTGGAAAGGGGAGAGAATGGAAGCAAGGAGACTAATTAGGAGGCCATCATATTGGTTCAGATGAGTGGTAATGAGGGTTTTGGCAGTGTGAGTAAAGAGAAGGGGATGGATTCAAGATGAAGGAGATGTGGTGGATGTAAATTTGATAAAACTTGGCAACTGATTAAATATGGGAGTAAAGGTCAAAGATGACTCTGGTATGTCATAAACCTGGTGACAGAAAGGAGGGTGGTGCCTTCAAAGGAAATAAGGAAGTTTGGAAGAGGGGTGGGAACTGCCACCATAACACAGAAATGATCTAAACTTCAGTATTATTTTTGCAACTTGAAAGTTAAATATGCCAGTCCTCTTGCTGGTATTAGGGACCATGCCTTAGGGGTCTTAATCCATTTAGCTTTCTCCTGGGGCTCTGCTGTCCAGATTGGTGAGTGCCTCACCTGGTCCATTCTTATGGGCAGCCTCAGCCGTCCTTTGCTTTCTACTCATTAAGTATCTTCTCTCCAGCCCCCTAGAAGCTAGAGACCAACCCTCCTCATTTCTCCACCACTTTTTAGAATCTGGAGCCATAACTAAACCAATACTGCCATTAACTCCTAGAAAGGGCATGATAATATGCTTGTATAGCTCCATTTAACATACCTGTCAACTTCAAAAGCAATATACCTTTCCCTGGCCACCACTCCCTGATTTGTGCTCTCTCATTAGAATATAAATTCCTTGAGGGCAGGAACTATCATCACTTTTATATTTGTATCCTCAGAGTTTAGTATTGGCTTGGCACATAATAAGCACATAATAAATGTTATTTGTTCATTCATTCATTCAGTACCAGAGCTTTAGTGGAAAAAAATCTCCTTTCTGTTCTGGCAGTTGACCAGTTCTACAGGGTATCTTCATGCAGTTTTAACCTTTAATTGCATAAAACTGCATGAAGACTTTTGGGTCATCCCGTACATTAACTTAATACCATGTTCTTAACAGAGCATGACTATTTTTGAGTCACACCTTGGGCCTCTGGTTGCTACCCAAAGGGAATCTAGAACCACTGTGAGATTAAGGATCTAGGCCTGGTGGGATATGGAGGATCTATAGCTACCCTGGTTGATGCTTCTATATGACTTCTTACTGATATACCTTGGAAGCCACTCAAAGAGGCAGGGTTGCCAAGCAGCGATCTTGGGATGAAGCTCTGTTTCTAGGGATATGTACTGTGAAAAGAGTCCAGTGATGTGATTTCTAACTTCCCAAGAACAAAAGAATCCTCTATCATTTCTATGAGGTATCCAAATGAACTATCTCTGTCTATTCTGTTTGGGCAGTGTGGTAGGAACCATATTTTACTAGGTAGTCTAGGCTAATCTTTCCTTAAAAGGTTTAGAAACCACCCTCCAGTTTTATTTAGCTCAGGGGAATAAGGCTCTGACCATTAATATAGCTTCCTGGTGGCCTAAGTACAAGAACTAGTGTAGGGGCAGGTAGGTGGTGCAGCGGATAGAGCTCTGGCCTTGAAGTCAGGAAGACCTGAGTTCAAATCTGACCTCAGACACTTGATACTGTATGACCCTGGGCAAGTCACTTAACCCCAACTGCCTCACCAAAAAGCAAAAAACCAACCAACCAAAAAAAAAACTAGTGTACAATACAAACATTCAGTATTCCTCCTTTGGGCTTCTGACTGGCAGACCCTCATGGCCAATACAGTTGGGGAAGTGGTCACCAGCTGAGTCCATGTGGCATCCTTGCTGAATATTCTTTCACTGATATAGCTAAGTAAATCTCCTTTTGCTAACTGTAAGGTGGTCTACAAGTATTTCATTTCATTCCAATTTCAAACCTGAAGCACTAGACTGGTCTGAATCAGGTCCAGCCCAAAATAGGCAGCATACAGTCTACAAAAGGGGCATTATTTGAGCTACTGGTGGGTCAATTTCCTTGTCCACAGACCCAAGCCTAGAAGTAAATAGTGGGAAAAATAAGAATTGAAACCTGAGTCTTTCCTGAAATGGGTTTCCTGGGCTAAATGAACAGCTTTTACCTTTCGTTGAACTTCCATCAAGTTGAGGCTTGGACTTCTCTGTTTCTATGACAGAAAGGGACTGTGCTGGTGGCTCCAGGGGCAAGGGAGCACATCCACCTTGTGTTGGTTGCTGTTGTTCTGGAAATACATCAGAATCTGGACATGGTTCCTCAGTCTGTATTCTAACTTTCTGCTCACTTCTTCCATTTCCTAAGAGAGCTAATGGAAGGGTAGGCGGCATAAGTACTGTCCTTTGACAACATAAATTAATTCAGAATCTGTAGCGCTAAAGTCAGGGAATAAGACATGACTAGTCCTACCGGGATCATGTTGATGGTTTTCTGTTATGGTACTTGCTTGTCTTCCCTGAGACACCTGTCCTTTTTCATATTCCTGTTAAGTTAATAATACCAGAAAGAACATAAAATAATAGTTTGCATTTGTGTAGTGCTTTAAGGTTTGCAAAATTCTCTATATAGGTTATTTCATTTGATCCTCACAATGATCCTGGGAGGGAGGTGCTATTATTATCATTCTCATTTTACACATGAGGAAATTGAGGTTTGCTCAGGGTCAGACAGCCAGTAAGTGTATGAGGTGGGATTTGATCTCAGGCCTTCCTGACTCTAGCTCCAGCATTCTACCCATTGTGTCACCTAGCTACCCTTCCTCACAGCCTATATTCTTTGTAAATCCACTGTTCTTTCTACTCTAACAGGCTGCCTTCTCTTTCCCTGACTCTGAGTTGTGGAAAAATACCCTCAAACTTAATTCCCTAAGTTCCCCAAATCCTCCCTATAGTCTCTAAAGGTCTGGTTTTCAGTCATGTGAAGGCTCAAGATAATATTCCAAATAATTGGGGATAAAAACTCCATCTGGGTTGAAATTAGCAAGAATTTTCCCCTTAATTATCTGGATTATCACTCAGTTTTGTGTTTCACTTTGTTAATGGAGGCCTGACTTTTACCTGGAGGTCTCCTCTAGCCTGTCCTCACCTTTAAGTGATGCTATTTCCTACTTTATTGCCAAATTCACAGGCTACTATGGTTAGGAATGCTTAATTAGCAGCTAATTGGATATTTTTAATCTTAATATCTACTTTGAGTTTCCTCACTTGGTTTGCTATCATGCTGCATGTATCTTCAATCATTAGTCCATTAAGCATTCACAGCTGATAAAATTTGCTGACTTAAGTGTTGAAAATTGGTAAGGAAGATTACATATGTATCTTTCATTTTTCTCAGTTGTACTTGTTAGAGATGGAGCAGATCTATTCTACTGTTATATGTGCTTTTGTACACAGCAGATGTAGTTTGAGCTCTCTTAGTTGTGGGTTCATGAATGTTATAATGGGTTTAAGGCACATTTTGGGTCAGCTTTCATTCAGAACAGCAGCTTATGAGCCCCCTCCACTTTTTCTATGACAAGTTTGAATTTCTCAAATCACTTGCACATTCGTAATCTTATTTAATCCTCACAATCTTGCCTTGAAATAGTCAGGTCAGTATTAGGTATGTAAATGGTTATTAAAAGAGGTAGTATAACAGTTCCAAGCCTCACAATCTCTTCTCTTATTCTCTTAATATAGTCCAAATGGAGAAATTCATTCAAAGCAAAAAGAATTTGGTTAAACAGAGCAGAAAGATCAATGACAAGGATAATCCTAGATTGTGAGCTCTTTGAGGTCAGAGGTTGTCTTTTGCCTTTCTTTGTATTCCCAGCATTCAGCACAATGCCTGGTATACGGTAGGTACATCGTAAATGTTTATTGACCAACTAACACACTGACATAGATTCTTATACCATTAGCAGGAGAGGGAACATATGGAAAGAGTATGTATATAGCCATACCACTTCATACTCTGTAGATTGTGAATCTAGTTGGACAGTGCTTTTCTGCCTTCAAAGCTACCATTACTGATGGCATCTGCTGGGATGCTTTCCCTGTCCAGTTGTGAACTGCTTTCTCCTCTGATGTGTCAGCTGCTGGCATTATGTGATGGGCTATTTTCTTCCCTTTGTTACTGTCTGTCGATCCTCTGCTTAGCTGCTACCATTTATCGGTTCTCCATTATTATGGATCACCTATTACAGATATTAACTATCCTCTCCTCAGAAAAGCAAAGGTTGTAGTATTTATTTTGCTTCTAGCCCATAACCTCCAAACCAATAGCCATATCTAGAAAACCATTAAAGGCCTTTAGGTCAAATCGGTCTTTTGAGTTCATTTGTACCTGCCTTTTAATTACTCCTCTAGGCTTACCCACTCTTTGGGCTAGGGTGAGAAAATTCCATTCATCTTCCATTATGACCCTGATCGCCAGTCTCAGGGCCATGCAAATTACCCTGGATCTTCATTTAGCAAGACTGGAAGGACAGAGTAGAGCAGGTACTACATCAATGCTCTCCCTACATAAGGAATCATGTATGATCTTAACATGTGTGTGGAAAACTCCTTGTTGGAGCAGAGCCTTTCAGGTCTTTCCTCCCATTATAGACAAGGAAGATGGAATAATAGTGTGTCACGACAGTGGCTGCTTCCATTGAGAAAAGAGGCAGCCTGAGTCAATATCAGATTCTTCTAAAAAACTGGAAAAGACTGGAAATCTAAAGCTAGAAAACTTCATAGATTCTGATAAAATTTTTATTTTAATATCTTACATCTGCATAATGCTTTATACTCTCAAATAACTTTTACAACTATTACTTTTCTTAATCCTCATAATGCTACCTTGAAACAGTCAGGTCATTATTAGGTATGTGAATAGTTTTGAAAGTTTAAATGATATACAGATGCCAGCTATTTTAACCATTCCAGGCTTCTCTTCTCTTAGCCTTTCCTAATATTTGACAGGTAGGATGGGTGTGAGATCTGTTTTCTCAGGATCAGCCTAGTTAAGTTCAGAGAAGCTCTTCTCCAACTAGTTGTCCAGTTGTTTATGGCAACCAATTAAATAAAGGAAGGCACAAAATGCCTTGAGATATCTCTCTGTGGAGCTTGAAGAGCCTTGCAAGAAACCCTTTTACTTATCTCCCAACAATGGAGAACTGAATTTCTGGGTTAGCTCTCATCCTAGGCTGGGAGATGGTAGAGAGAGAAATATTAACTTCTGTCTTGATGGGTTTCCTAGTTTTGGGAGTGGCTGGGTCTAGGAATTGAATAGATGCCTAGATCTGTTAAGGGCAGTTTGGTGGTGCAGTGGATAGAGCACCAAGCCTGAAGTCAGGAAGACTCGTTTTCCTGAGTTCAAATCTGGCCTCAGACATTTACTAGCTGTATGACCCTGGGCAAGTCACTTAGCTCTGTTAGCCTCAGTTCTTCATCTGTAAAATGAGCTGGAGAAGGAAATGGTAAACCACTCCAGTACCTTTGCTAAGAAAACCCCAAATGAGTCAGGAAGAGTCAGACACGACTGAGCAATAACAACTATGTCTGTTTCATAAAATTAATACTTTTACTTTTACTTGAATGCTTATGTCCTTGAACTAGAGGTAAACCAATTAGGACAATACAGTAAGGGATAAAGAGATGTGTTTTCCTAGAACAGGACCTGTGAGCTATAGATCCTGTTGCATAATTCACACTAGCCCCTAGACCAATGAGAGAAAAGCATTCTGGGCCACCAAGGGGTGGAACTGATGGGAAATAGGCAGCCAGCTTTCTGAGAACCCAATAGGATTTAGCAGATGTTCCAGAGAGCCCTCTGGTGTTGGATGTTATGCATGACAAGTGGGGTGAACATTTGATTGACGGCTGTGTGCTGAATAGGGCCAAACACCCCAGATATCATGCTAAGAACCACACTTTTTTTTTTAAAGGCAACTGCGGTTAAGTGACTTGCCCAGGGTCACACAGCTAGTAAGTGTCAAGTGTTTGGTCTGAGGCCGGATTTGAACTCAGGTCCTCCTGACTTTAGGGCTGGTGCTGTATCCACTGTGCCACCTAGCTGCCCCAAAACCACACGGTTTTTATATATAAACATAAATTTAACTATTAGTACTCTAAATGTGAGATCTATGTTTAGTAGTCAATGATTTTATATAATATTGGGGCAACTAAATTACACAAATCTTGATAATTTCCCTATAAATGAAACAGAAGTTGCCAGAGAAATGTTTCCTTGGGAAAGGAAGTAGGTCTGTCACATTGTAAGAGACAGTGGACAGCTCAAGCGTTAAGCTTCTTAAACATCCATCACTTTAACTCTATAGGGTTAATGAGTGCTTCCTCCTTATCCAGCAGAGGAGGATCCCACATATACCCTGAACCAGACTTTGGACATGATATACCAGTAGCTTATATCTGGCCATCCAATCACCCAAGACTATGTTTCTTTCATACCACCCTTTACCCACCAAAAAAATTAATCACGAAAGCATTTCAAACAATCCCTATCTAAGAAGCCAAATATTCTGGGGCCAGGCCTAACTCGCTAGTACATTGATTCAGCCTTGGAGTTAGAATAAAATGACCCACCTATGAACTATAAAATGCAATAAACATGAAACTAATAACAGAGGACACAATTTCTAAGATTAAAAATATAGTAATACAGACAAAATGCCAACTCAAGCATTGGCCATGCTAAGGGAGAAAGGCTTTCTCCTTGGCACCTCTGAAAACAACTTCTCATGGTCTGGGCCTTTTATGCCTCAATAGCAGGGAAATAAAATCAATAATAATCTTGAGAATGGTATCCATTCTCCCTTAAAGGGAAACTTGCCCAACCTACGTAAAACACCTACTGCTCCTATCACAGAGTGGTAGTTATTAATATTTTCTTGGTCACCTTTTTGAGTAAAACCACCTTTCTTTCAGATATCTTGAGAACCAATCCCTCAACACCCTCCATTCTAATTTTTAAGGAAGTATTTTCTTCAGTGAGCTTTTGGACCCTCCTTTTCCATTTGGCCAATTCTGCTTTTGAAGGCATTCTTCTCCTCATTGGCTTTTTGGACCTCTTTTGCCATGGGTTAGGCTATTTTTTAAGGTGTTATTCTCTTCAGTATTTTTTGGGGTCTCCTTTAGCAAGCTGTTGACTTGTTTTTCATGATTTTCTTATATCACTCTCATTTCTCTTCCCAGTTTTTCCTCTACTTCTCTTACTTTCTTCTCAAAATCCTTTTTGAGCTCTTCCATGGCCTGAGACTGATTCATATTTTTCTTGGAGGCTTTGGATGTAGGAGCTTTGACTTTGTTGTCTTCCTCTGGTTCTATGTTTTGATCTTCTTTGTCGTCAAAGAAAGATTCTATGGTCTTTTTCCCCTTGGTTTGCTCATGTTCCCAGCCAATTACTTAACTTTTAAACTCTTTGTTAAGGTAGGGGTCTGCTTCCAGTGTAGAGAATGTACTGTCCCAAACTTTAGGGGTTCCTGTAAAGCTGTTTTCAGAG